AGGGGTTGATTCTTATCTGTCTGAGTTGCTTTGAATCAGCACGTCCCTGTCCCACTACAAGGACATAGCAGGAGGAGCACTGGGATTGGAATCTGAGGACCTGGTTCACATTGAGAAGTTTTTCTTTATCAACTGCACAGATGTCTTATAGAGTATTTGACACCTGCGGGTATCATGTATGCATCACATACTGAGGCATTGTGCTGTAGTCATTCATCTGTGTAGAAAAAAGGTTTTCTCCATTGCTTTGTTTATGACTGCTTTTCCCAGAATCTTTTGGAGACTTTGTCCTATAGATCATAGCAATTACGGCAGGACCTTTGAAGCTAGACAGAGCTGGTATTGAATCTTAGCTTCACAACAACTTACTAACTGTATGATCTTGGGCTAATTACTTAAGCTCCACAAGCCTCAGTTTTCTCATCTGTAAAATGAGGATAATGCTGTCAACTTTGTGATGTTATTCTGAGAACTAAACAAGATAATCCATGTAAAGTAGGTAGCACAGTACCTGGAATAGTGTGCTTAATAAATGATAGCCTTTATTTCTTTCTTACTGCCATTCTTTTATTTCCCTCCATTTTCTCTCATCTTCTAAGAAGAGTATATTTCATATGCCAGCTTTTACGTGGTTTAGATGCTGTATTCTAGATATTCTTATATACGTTGGGTGATAGTTGAACTTGATCCCTGGAGACACTGACTAAACCTGAAGGTGTGGATAAGTGAAACTTGATGTTCCTGTAACTTGTCTTACGAGGAGCTTCTTGTCTGATGAGCTGTTTCCCATCTCTGATTCCTAAAGAGCTGGGAGGATGGAATGCTGGGCATGAGAAAAGGAGGGAAGCGGTTGCTTGTCATCCCCCCGGCCTGTGCTGCTGGCTCGGAAGGGGTAATAGGCTGGACTCAAGCAGTGGACTCTATCCTGGTGTTCGAGGTGGAGGTCAGGCGGGTGAGTGAAACTGTGCTGTGTTGTGTTTAATGAATCCTTTGTCTCTTCGCTAGTTAAGTGAATAAATAAATGAATATGTTGAAAACCAGGTTCTGAAGACATAAATTTCATTTTAAAAGTAGAAACAGAATAATTGGAAAGAGCAACAGCCCTGGAACCTAAAGAACAAGAAAGGGGAAAAAAATGTATTTATTGCCAATGAACTGTACACTTAAAAATGGTAAAGATGTAAATTATATATGTATATTTTACCTCAATAGAAAAATAAATTAATTTAAAAAAAAGAACAAGTTTTATGTCCTTCCTGGCTCTCTATTCAGAGTTTAGAAGAGGTTGTGATGTTGAGTAAATCACTTCTGCACACCAAGCTTCTTTTTATTTTGTCTATAAAATAGTGACTTCTGTCCAA